CCTTAATATAAACGGCTATTATATAAACGGTCGACATTACTACGAACTACAACGATATAATTACCTTACTACAACCATATTAGTGTAAGGACTTATATGGTTGCTATAGGCCGATACGTATGACCTTAATATAAACGGCTATTATATAAACGGTCGACATTACTACGAACTACAACGATATAATTACCTTACTACAACCATATTAGTGTAAGGACTTATATGGTTGCTATAGGCCGATACGTATGACCTTACTATAAACGGCTATTATATAAACTGTCGACATTACTACGAACTACAACGATATAATTACCTTACTACAATCATATTAGTGTAATGACTTATATGGAAAAAATGTAAATAATGGATTAACCTTTTTTTTTCAAAATGTAAATAATGTAGATAAAAAATGTAACTACTGGTTTAACCTTTTTTTTTTAAAAAAAAATGATTGGCTTGATTGGAAAAAATTAGAATACACCCTGTTAAAGGTGAGATTCGATCTCGAGACGCCTGCCTCATACATACGCTTACTTAACCAACGAACCGATTATAACTTTGATGCGTTTTAGACGTTCATTTATATACATTGAAATTCTAAATGAGGGTTGTATACTGATCGCGGCCGTCTCAACACTACACAATGGTAGTAAGAGTGGGTAGCAATAACTAATACCCGAATAGTGGATCGGGGTCGAATTTTCACAGGGAGCTTGGAATGGAGTTGTATTGCCGGTTTAGTTTAGAATTGCGTTTGTACTTCTAATTGCACTCCTAACATTTTTGAGGGTTTTTATATTTAAAACTACTTTTGTAACCTAAGAATTAGAGCTAAATTATGCTAAGGAAATATTGCTAAGTTGTTCTTGATATGGGAAAAAGGCACTAGAGTTGTGACACTACCTAGGTGGCTAGCTAACGGGTAGAAGCTACTAAGGGGAGATTGATAAATCTGGGTTTAGTGCTATAGCCGTTACACAAGTGCACTCATTCTCACACCTCTCGGTAGAGAGAACGATTTTGCCCAATTGACTCTCTCGAGACCAATTAGGTAGGCCAATTAGACCGGGCAACTAGGGGCTC